GGTTCAGGCTCTGGATCTTCGAATAAAAGGTTTTCCCTGAATCTCCCGAAAGTGTTAATGGGCTCTTTCCGGTCGCGTGGGAGATTTTGCAACACGGGCACACATTTTCAGGCAGGGAGATGTGTTCCACGAACCTTTGCCGTTCACAGAGGGCGTTGATAGTCTGCCCCTCAGCAGCTGCTGCCACGGGGGGTGAGGGGCTGACCATGGCTTGGAATGCTGGACACAGAGAAAGGTGTGGCCGAGGGAAGGAATCCCATTGCACGGCCTCGAGTTTTTACTGGGCACCCTCCATGGGCCACCAGGCAGACTACAGACGCACGAGGATGCAGTGAACTTCGAGTGTCTGTCAATTCAGACCCCAAGGGTACCCCCCCCCCTGCTTTCCCCGCTTGTTCCATCTGTTTCTCTCCGCAGGGCTGGACCCAGAAGTTGAACCATGGCTACGGGTAGCTTTGGGAAGAGAAAAATCTACTTAAAAAAAAAAAATTTATTGATTTTAGATAGAGAAAAACACTGACGAGAAACATCAACATCGATCGGCTGCCTCTTCCAGGCCCCCTAATGGGGATCGAGCCCACAACCTGAGCAAGTGCCCTGACCCGGGACTGAACCAGTGACCTCTTGGTGCATGGATTGACAACCCCTGAGCCATGCCAGCCGGGCAAGAAAATCTACTCTTTAATCTTCAGGTGGCTAATGCCAGGAAGGGTTCTGACTGGCCCAGCTGGGATCCCATATGGGGAATAATGGTGGATTTTATGCCACTGTAGGTACCTTCTCCGTAGGAGAAGCAGCAGGTAAAGAACGCAGTGGGAGGTGGGGGAAAGCCTCCGCAGCCAAGCGAAGGGCTCCACTCCCTCATCATACTTCCTGGACGGTTCTCCGTGGCCTGCAGAGGGCCATGCATGTTAGTGTCCCCTGAGTGACGTTCTAACAGGATGCTCCATCTCTGCCTGGGCTTCTCATGTTATACCAGCGGGTCCATCAAACTGCGGTGTGCTTTGGGCTGACAGTGAGGCACGGATAAAAGCAAGTGCTGGGCCCATTCCGGCAGGGCGAGGGTCCGGGGGGTGTGTTTGTAACAAGCTGGCCCAAGTGATTGTGCCCTGGCTGCCGGTGCCACACCCTGGGAGGAAGGCTGCACAGGATAATGTCAGGGAATGGGAGGAGGAAGAGGTTTTGCTGCTTGTTTGTTAAGGACGGACTTCCAATCGTCTGCAACAGTCATTTTCATTTAATGAGCAAATGAGTGGAGGGGTGAGCAAAAAACCAAACCAAGACAAAACAAAGAGAATATCACCTGGACTGGATGGGGGATGGGTGGGAAGGGAAGGACTGGGAGGGGGAGAGCCAAAAATCAGGGAAACACAGGTGAAGTGAGGGGTGGCGTGGGGGGCGGGGGGAGGAAGAGAGAGAGGAGATTCGTTCAGAAAGGCCACTTTATTGATGGAGATAAAATGAAAAGCCCTCCCTCACTCACGTCAGTGGCTTCACTGGGCATCTGAGACAGCGTGGGCAGGCCTGTGGCCAGCTCCACCTCAGGCGGCCGCGTAAAAACACGTCACAGCTCGTGAAGATTCACAGGCACACCCCAGAATCCGCCAAACGCTGGCTGTGCATTTTAAAATATTGTACAAAATATGTTAGGTAGGAAAGGACAGCTGTGCTGTGATGTCTGCGGGGCGTCCTTTTAGAGTGACCGTCCCCAAAACATGACTTACTTATTGCATGAAACCTCTAGAAGGCAGAGCTGTACAAAAAAAAAGAAAAAATCTAAACCATTTTATTTTAAGAAGAGCAGCAACTGGACACTGCTTTTAGTTCATTTAAATTTTCTTTCTCAAAAATACATTCCTAAATATACAAACTATACAATCTTGTCGTTTTAATGCTGTGGTTTTTTTTTTTTTTTTGTATTTTCTTCTTCTTCTTTTTTTTTTTAATAATAGAACCCAAACTAAAAAAAAAAATCTTCATCTTCAAACCAGAGGAGCGCTAGAGGACGTGGGACGCAGAACCTTCATATAACACCACATAAATAACGCGGCCACAGTCTCTGCTCACGGCAGGGTCCCTGGACCAGAGGAAATACTTTTCTGGAGCTCAGACGTCGTCCGCGGAGAGGGTGGGGATGTTCATCCGCGGCCGCGTGAAAAAGGCCATCTTCTCCCTGTAACAGAGGCCACGCCTTCAGGGCAGGAGCTTCGCCCTCGCCTTACGCACACCACGGGCAGGGCAACACTTGGCGGTGGGAGCCATGCAGTACATGGGAGGATGTGAAGCAGCATCCCTGCCCCCGCCCCCTAGATGTCTGTCACAGCTCCCCCACCCCTCCTTCCAGTGTCACAACCAAATATGCCCCCGAACTGCCCTGGCTGGTGACTCAATGGTTAGAGCACCAGCCCTCAAACTGAAGGGTCTTGGGTTTGATTCCTGGTCAAGGGCATGTTAGGGCACATGCAGGAGGCAACCAATTGATGTGTCTCTCTCACATTGATGTTTCTCTCTCTGTCTCCCTTTCTCTCCCCTCTCTCTTCCTCACCCCCCCTTTCTGGTTTCTCTGAAAAAACAATCGAAAAAACATCCTCTGGTGAGGATTAAAAAAAAAAAAAAGAACCCCGAATCGCCAAATGTCTCCAGGGGGGACCCAAATCATTCCTGCTTTAGGGGAGATTAGTAGGACCAGGGGCCTTTAGTTAAAATCAGGGGCCTGGGCTTAGAAGGCCCTTTGGGCCACTGCTAGTGCTTGTTTTAGATTCTCAACTGGTTAAAAAACTGAGATGTTGTAACATGGTCATACAAATTACAGTACATTCTAAATGTTTCCTTAGTCTTATCTGAGAGAACGTCACAAGTCTAAATGTAAGGCCCTCTATGGATGGGAGGCCAGGACAGATGGCACTGGGGTCCGGCACAGCAAGAAAGCGCATCCCCGAGGTCCCGGCAGACGGCAGGCAGAGCCAGGAGGCCCGAGGGGCACCCGCACCCCCGGCTTATTTATCACGCAGCCCATCCTCCGCAATCAGCAGTTACTGGTGATGGAAACGCTGAGAGGTGGCTCATTCATTAAACAAGAGGAACTAACAATTTAGCTCGAGTTGTTGGGGACTGAGAAAGACAGCCAGGGAAGGCAGTGCAGGCACACAGACCGCCCGGGATGGCTGGGCAGGGGCTGAACATCTGTGACAGCGAGAGAGAAAGGTCTGTGGGACAGGGAGCAGGGGACAGAGGCTGGGCCGGCGGGGTGGGCCAGGGAAAGGGAAGGGCGGGCGGGCAGCTGGCCGGGCGCCCACGTGCTTACCTGAAAGACTGCACTTCTGGGGGCTCCTTGCAGCTCTGGCCTCTGAGCCTGTGCACGTCCTTGGCGGCCGCCCTCATCATCTTGTCTGCCTGCAGCTCTCCTTTGTGCCCCGCGCGGTCCATCTGCAGGGCAAAGCGAGCAAAGCCGTGAGGCTGTGGGGAGTCCTTTGGGCCTCCGGAAATGGGCCGGCCACGGAGAACTTTCTAGTACAAAGGGGGATTTCGTTGTAGTCAAGAAGTCTGTGGGCCACACCCAGGCACCCTCCCCCTTCCTGTTCCACTGTTGGGACCCTCTTGATTCCGAAGGAGGAGGCAAAGTGGTCCCACCATCTGCGACAGTGGCCAGGTATCGGGCGGCAGGAACCTGAACGCCTGTGGGGACCCCGGAGACGGGCTGTCTGGGGAAACGTGTGCTCCTTCCTCTAATCCTCAGGGCCACCAGAAAGGTCGAGTGTATAATGACCTCTCTTTGACAGCCCAGGAAACGGAGTTTCAGACATGTTACACATTGCGGACCAGTAGTTTTATTGCTAGCTTTACCCAGTAGCCGGGTAAGTTTCTACTGAACGAGTACAAAAAACGTCTTACATCAACGTTAAAGGCACGCTTTAAAATTAAATACCCATTGCATTTTGAAGGTATTTATTACATGTCCTTACAAGCTAATATCTTTTTAAAGTATGATATTTTGTAAAAACACTGTGTAATACGAAGCGAAAATTCTTGTGATCAGTCCACAATGTGTTAAGAAATTTCTTTAACGTCAAACAAGTAAGACGTTACTTGGGCACAAACCCAATTCCAAGTCATGCCGTGTGCTCAAGGCCCTACCTCTTTTTTTTTTTTTTTTTTTAATGCTCAATCGAGGATATTTTTCCATTGATTTCTAGAGAGAGTAGAAGGGAGAGGGAGAGAGACAGAGAGGGAAACATCGATGTAAGAGAGACACATTCATTGGTTGCCTCCCACACAAGCTCAGACCCGGGCCAGGGAAGGAGGCTGCAGCCAAGGTATGTGACCTTGACCAGAATCGAACCCAGGACACGTCAGTGCGTGGCTCAACGCTCTATCCACTGAGTCAAACTGGCTAGGGCATATGCCCTTCCTCTTGATGCAAACCTATGTAAGTGCCTCTGAACAAGTCACCGAGAGCCCTAAAATATCCATGTCTTTCCAACACTGCACACAGCCAGAACTCTGGTCAGTGAAGACACTGTTTAAATGGCTCCTTAGCAGATCACTGTCAGTCCCAGACAGTCATGCATGTACTATAATTTACTAGAATTGAAAGGTCAGGTTTTGTCAAGGCGAGGTATTTTCTTACCTCTTCCTATGCCTTGGCTACTGGGAAGCTCAAAGGTAAATGTGACAGACAACCACAATTAGGTTAAAAATATATGTATTCCCTTCTCATCCTTAGAACTCTAATTCTCCATTTTCCCTGAATGCTCTTATTAAATCCCTGATATAAGTACACAGGGCATAAGTAATAAATTAGAAAGAAACATTTGGGGACTTTCTCAATCGCTTGAAGCTCCGACGCTAGTCCTGACCCAGGAAGTCCAGCACCACGTTCCTGCTCTAAGGCATCACCAGCTGCATCAAGAGCTGGGGCTTCAGCCGGTGGCCCTCCCAACAATCCAGGCAGGCGCCCTCTTCATGGTGCTCGCTGCATTGCCTGGCTGCTCGCGGACAGAACTGGCAAAGGTCTGGCATCCTTGCCCTGTGTGGCAATCCGAGGGTGGCAGGTGTTATGAAACTGAGTCAAAGGAGTCTACTAGCCCAGTGTTGCTTCCTTTTTCATGGTAGTTTGGGACCTGTAAGCTCAAAGCCTGCTAGTGCCCATCCAGTTGTTTTAAACACAGCTCGAACAAGCAGTTTTAAACCATTTAGAAGCGGCCTGCTTTGCATACCCTGTGAAGCGAAGCTCCACCCATCGTCTGCTGGCCGAAGATACACCAGTGATGGCGAACCTTTTGAGCTCGGCGTGTCAGCATTTTGAAAAACCCTAACTTAACTCTGGTGCCGTGTTACATATAGAATTTTTTTGATATTTGCAACCATAGTAAAACAAAGATTTATACTTTTGATATTTATTTTATATATTTAAATGCCATTTAACAAAAAAAATCAACCAAAAAAATGAGTTCACGTGTCACCTCTGACATGCGTGTCATAGGTTCGCCATCACTGAGATACACATGGGGCCATCAAGGACCCCAAACTGCTGCTCTCTGACCCAGAGACTCCTCGTGGTGCTGCTGAGTGACGTCATCACGATGCCCCCTCTCCAACCCCCTCTCCTTAGGAGCTCCCTTGCCCTCCTGCCCTCCAGGTATGGCCCCACCTCTGGGAGGTCCCGTGCTGTGAGGGACTTCTCCGGCATGCTAACTTGTTTGTGAAAGCAGCGCTACCCTGATAAAACTCATGGCGCGCTACTGTCATTCCCTCAAACTCACTGCAGGAGGACGGAGGATGGAGAAGCGAGCAGGCTGTGTTCCCTGCTTCTTAGTCCTGAGCCCTGCATGGCCCACCCCTCTCTGCTTGGGCGATACCTGCTGGGTGGGACTGCGTGGGCAGGCACCAGGGCGGGTCACTGTCCTAGAAGAACTGCTAGTGTGCTCCAGCCAGATGAGGTGCCAATGTTTGATGAAGCGTCGCACAAAGAAATACATGTGAATGGATAATAAGGGCTTGTGCACATCAACACAGAAATGCAGTAAAAAGGGCCTGGCTGTGAGGTCAAGAGTTGGCTACGTCCCTAGCTGGTTTGGCTCAATGGATAGAGCATCAACCTGTGGACTGAGGGTCCTGGGTTCGATTCCGGTCAAGGGCACATGCCTGGATTGCAGGCTTGATCCCCAGTAGGGGGCATGCAGGAGACGGCCGATCAATGATTCTCTCTCATCGTTGATGTTTCTACCTCTCTCTTTCCCTCTCCCTTCCTCTTGGAAATTAAAAAAAAAAAAAAAAGAGTTGGTAACGTTTACTGGGCAAAGGGAACCAGGGGCGGGAACTCTCTCAGTGGGTCTCAGGGTTGGACGACCCATTCAGAGCTCCGGTCTGTGGTGTCCCCCTGCTCCTGCCGCAGCGGACGGACCGCAAGGCGGGCAGCACTCACCTGCTTCTCCAGCATCCTCAGCAGCAGGCGGAAGCGCTCGTCCTCGCGCAACCCCGGGGGCAGCTCCTTCTCCCCGTGGCTCCGGGCTTGTTCGAGCTGCTCCTTGAGCTCCCTCAGCACCGAGATCTCCTGCGTCAGCTGGCTGTGCCAGGTCCGGGTGGCCTGCAGGTCTAACTCCAGGTCCAGCGAGGTGCGCATCAGGCGCTCGTGGCGCAGGGATTTGAAAGATGAAGGCTGTGGGGTGGGAATGGCTTTGACTACTTGGTCATCCTTCAAAACTGCCCTCAGCCCGATTTCTCCCACTCTACAGCCCATGTTTAGTGAGCATGGTTATGTCCTGTGGGGAAGCACGGGACTTGGTTGGAAAGTCTGTCAGGAGGATTCTCCGAAAGGTCGGGGGTCTCTGAGGGGACCTTGCCGAAGGCAGCAGCCCCTTCCTTGACTTGTCCAAACAAGTCCGAGCCCCGGGGTGTTTTACTGAAATTTCTATGTTTAGTCTGCAAACCCGACCTTGTGGAAGCATGTGCTCTCTCAAGGATACTCACCCTGCTGATTGTATCTAAGATCAATTTTAGTTCAAGCTGTTGTGACAATAAGAAGCTAACGAGGCAGACAATCAGGGCTGTTTCAGTTGCTAAAGCGCAACAGTCCCTTAGCCTTCTCTTTCCCATAAATGTGTGTCAGAGTCGTCTGTTCCTCCTCTGCTCAGGGTCTGCTGGTCAGCCCCGGCAACGTCCCAGGCTCGGTCCTGGGCACTTGACTCCATGACCCTAGTTCGTTTGCGCAAACCCTACGAGGTCCCTCCGATGGTTACCCCTGCACAGACGAGCTTCCAGAGGCTGTCACACATTGTGAGTAGCAGAGCGGAGATTCCACCCCGGGCAGTGGGCTCCAGACCCCATCCCTCACTCCCACACGGTGCCTGGCTCCCTGCTCTCCATGTCCTCCACATTCCCAGTCTCAGTCAGAGCCTGCTTTTCTGTCTCCTGCCCTCAAGTTGTTTCCTGAGTGCAAGTCTGTCCCCCTTCTTGACTTGGTGTTCCCGCAATAGACATCTATTGTTTCTGCGTGTGCAGCATCTACGCCCCCAGTCTCACAGGTAACCCATCATCTTCCCTTGGGGACCCACGCCTCCTCCATGCCCAACCCACGTGGTTCCTGTGGGGCTTCAGGGATAGAAACGTGACCTGAACCTGGCAAAGCAGAACCACAGTGATTGCTTCTGGGGTGAGTATGTTCTCTCAGCCCAGACAATAAAACTCAATTCTGGGACCTTTGCGAGTGACTTGGGAAAAAGGCAATGTCTTTACACAGAGATTCTCAAGCCGGCAAGTATAAACCTAGAACTGATCACAGTCATCTTCACCGTCACATGGAGTGACCCTGATTAAGAATTCAGCTAAAAAAAGAGGAAGAAGAAAAAAAAGAGTCATAATAAGCTATGTGGAGGGAGCAATGCCGTGAGGGGGGGACTGAGGTTTGATGACATTCTTTCAACTCCTGCATCAATCCATGCCTGAGACTAGTCCAACATCCTGGAGTTTCCATGAAATGAGCCAATAAATTGCCCTTTTCATTTTCAAGCTACATTTGAGTTCTTCAGTTATCTGTATGCATAAGATCCTGAGTAATCCTATATAATAAAAGACTAATATGCAAATCGACCGAACGACAGAAGAACTGGTTGCTATGATGCGCACTGACCACCAGGGACAGACACTCAATGCAAGAGCTGCCCCCTGGTGGTTAGTGTGCTCCCACAGGGGGAGCGCCGCTCAGTCAGAAGCCGGGCTCACGGCTGGCAAGTGCAGCAGTGGTGGCAGGAGACTCTCCTGCCTCTGTGGCAGCGCTAAGGATGTCCGACTGATGGCTTAGGCCCGCTCCCTGCAGGGAACGGGCCTAAGCCATCAGTCAGACATCCCCCAAGGGCTCCTGGACTGTGAGAGGGTGCAGGCCGGGCTGAGGAATCCCCCAGAGTGCACGAATTTTCATGCACCGGGCCTCTAGTACTAGTATAATCATTAACTCTCCTCTCAAAACCCAGTAATGATTTAAAAAGAATGACTAAGTGACTGTGGGAGACTGAATTCTAAGCTGGCCCCCAAGATCCCCACCCCCTCACAGACACGCCCAATATAATACCTGCCCCTTCAGTGTGGGTGGGACCTGTGAAGATAATGGATATCACTCCTGTGATTAGGTAACTAATCAGTTGACTTGAATCATGCTGGGTGGGCCTGACCTAACTAGGTGAGCTCCTCAGTGATGAACTGCCCTTCCTGGAGATCGGCTAGCCGTAAAGAAGCAATACATGTATGGAGAGGGCCACATGGCAAGGACTGAACATCACCTCTGTGCGTTGTGAATAGCTCCAGACCTGCAGCTAGCGAGGAAATGCAAGGTTATGCATCCTGCCAGCACCCCGAGGCGGGGATGTGACTCTCACCCTAGTCAAAATTCCAGATGAGCCAGCACCCAGATTTCAGCCTGGGGAGACCCTGAGCAGAGGGTCCAGCTGGCCTGTGCTGAACTCCTGCCCTCTGGGAACTGTGAGAGAGCGCGTTGTTTTCAGCTCTTAATTTGTGGTAATTTGTTATGCAGCAACAGGAAACAAATACAATGGCCAATAAAAGGATTTGCGAGATGGTACGGAAATGGCTACGATGAGCCCTACCCTCACTTCCACTTGCACAAGCACACTTTCAGGAACACCAAACAGCTCAGGGTAGAAGTTATCCAGGGGGACCACGGTCCAGTCGGTGCTCATAAATGAGCAGGGCCAGGAAATCCACTGCGGAAATCTGTGGCCCAAGTTCCCCAAGCAAGACATGAAGATTCTTCTGCTTGGCTCTGACTGATGTCCAGGCTCAGAACCTTCCGGAAGCAGGCAGAGGCACAGCTCAGGTAGCGAGTGGGAGGATGGCAGCAACCCAGGCTCGGGCCCAGCCTCTGGACTCTCCTGTCCCTTGGGCATAGTTAGAGGACCCGAGGGAAATGGGGCTCAGACCACCGTCAAGGGCTCCCTTAGCAAGCCAGGCCCTTGGCTGAGCGGAAGAGGAGGTCAAGAAGGGGGAACTCTGTGGGGCCCGCCTTGGAAGGGAGTTTGGGGGCACACAATGGCATTTTTCCGTCCAGAACGCTGAGGAGCCTGTTGAAAACGCTGTTTCCTGGTGCCGAATTATACTGTCTAGGTGTGTGGCCTTGGAATCTGCATCATCGACAAGCTCCCCAGTAGACCTTGCGGAACCCGCCAGAAGACGGGCGGGGGTGGGGGGCTGAGCAGGCAGCTGGCCGTCCCTGTCACCCGAGGGAGGCCATGCCCAGCTTCTCCCTCAGCCAGCACTCTCTCCCCTTCCTGTGCACCCTCCTCTGCCCGGCCTTCTCCTGCTCACTCTCACTCTTTCTGGAGATTCATGGGAGGGGAGGGGATTGACGGAGGACCAGCTCCTGACTCTGGCCTCAGTGGATCTGCAGGGGACGCAGAGGAGCCTTCCCTGCATGTGCTTTCACTCTGCTCTCTCTCCTGCTCCCCCTACTTCTCTTTCTGATACGCTGGCAGCCACGTTTCTCTTAGTTCTGCAAACTCAGCGGAACTGCTGCAAAGTCTGAGCTACAAGCATCTCCTGCAGCCCTGGCGGGTGAAAGTCCGGAACAGGAGTCAGTCCTGGGCCTAACGCCACCTGACCCCGGTCCCTCAGCCACGCCTCCATAAGGAAAGGCGAGATTTCTCTACAGCGACTGTTGTGGCCTCTGCCCTGCGTGCTTCCAGCTGGACCGAGAGAAGCCCGCTCACACCCCTGCCTCCGGTCGGTGCTGGGGATGCCCGGCTTCTCTGCCAGCTGGGAGGGCTGTCAGAACCCTGACCCGCTCAGCCAGCTGGACGCACGGACACACTGAGCGGTCTCCCGTGAGGGAGGCTCCATCGGTGACCCTGGTATCTTCGGCGATTTCCAGACAGGAAGGCCCCTTCTACCTAACCTATTCCTCAGGATAATCATGTGATGTTTCCCCCTATGGCACGTTCCCCAGGGCCTACTCAGGCCTTACGGTTCGTAAACTTCCATTTGCAAAAACCACCACCATTACAAGAGTGACTTGTTCACACCACAGGACGAGGAGCAACGGTCAGACACCCGGGCATGTGCTTGGGGAAGCGAGGGTGGAGGGGCTCACAGGGGCTCCGAGGAGCCTGCCTTACCCGCTTCATGCGGACGCTGCGCCGCTCCAGAGAGTTTCGAACAACCGATTCAGCTGCAAGAAAGAGCCATGGAAGTCAGTGAAGGTCCGAGAGCATTCGGAAGGCACGCGGGGCCAGGAGGGTGCTGGCGGGTTCAGGAGGGTGGTGGCGGGGCCAGGCGGGTGGTGGCGACCCCTGCCCAGCCCGGCCCTTTCTCTCCGGTGCAAACACTCAGAGTTCTGTTCCCTGGGCCTGCAGGAGGCAGCTTCATTCGGTCTCTCTTTCCTTTCCAGGTGAACGTTCATTGAGCATGTACTCAGCACAATGCATGCTGCAACCTGCTATACTTGCCATAGCTCATTTAATCCTTCCAACAACCCCGTGGGATTGACAGTGGTTCCATTTGAGCCATAAAGATGGGCTCTGTCGGTGACAGGGAAGATTCACACTGCATGGGGTCAACGCTCCTATACTGCTGCCAACTCGCCAGGGATACTGACACGGTGAGAGTAGCAGGATTTGTACCCAGAACCGTGAGGTGAAGGCTACCCCACAGGAAGCCGGCGCTGTGGGAGGGGCAAGGGCCACATGTTTGCTTACCCGGCACACGTATTGGCTCTGGGGTCCAGGGGAGAAGGTCTTGGAGCGGATGATGGTGCTTCCTCGAAGAAATGGCGCTGGGGAGGGCGTGCCCACCCGCCGGTCCTTGGGCCGCACCACAGTGGGCGACGGGGAAGGGGTCTCTGTGTTGGTCTCTTTGTCCACCTGAGGAAGACGTCACAGCTCTGAGACCACGGAGTTTTAGCCACCGGCCCCGAGACACTCCCCACGCCTGTCACTTCACCTCTGTCCCACGGACACAGCTGGGAGCTTCTTGGGCGCCCACCCTGCCCAGCCAGGACAGCACCCCAGGCCTGAGGCCGGCCCCTATTCCTCCAGGACACCTGTGGCTGGGGCTGGTGGGAGCCTATTCAGCCCCCAAACAAGCTCCTGTGACAGCAGAGGTACCTGAAGCTCCATGGCCTGAAAGTCACCCCTCCAAAGCCACACACATTTTGTCAAAGCCACACCAAGGCCTCCGCTGCCCCAGCCAAGAGCTGCTGATGTTTTATTGGAATTATGGAGGCAACCAGCAAATCTCCTTACTTAAACCAGGGGGCCAGGTTTTCTTTTCTTTTTAAAATATGTTTTTATTGATTTTTAGAGAGAGAAATAGAAATATTGATGAAAGAGAAACTTCATTGATCGGCTGCCTCATGCACGCCCCTACTAAGGATGGAGCCTGCAACCCAGGCATGTGCCCTGACTGGGAATCCAACTGGTGACCTCTTGATTCCTGGGTTGATGCTCAACCACTGAGCCTCACTGGCCAGGCTAGGGGACCAGGCTTTCTATCGTCCTTTCACGGTAGTCACCAGTAAAAGGTAAGCAAACAAAAACCACGGAAAGGCAGGGCCTCCGTTAGCCTTAACAGCACCTTTGTGTAATTTTGAAAAAGGAGCCCCCTTTGCCTGGAGAAACTTCAAAATGCTTTCCCCTTGGTGTGGGTTAGAAGGCAGCCCGGGATGCTTCTGGGCACCTCTGTGCCATGCACCACCTTCAGCTCCACCCCCGGGTGCCCTGCCAGCACAACGGGAGCTCTATGTCCAGGAGCCCTGCAGGTGGAAGAACAGAGACCTCTGGAGAGCGAGTGCTGTTGTCACACGTAACCCGAGAGCAGCAGGGAAGCAGGAGGCAAGGGACTGACCCTCGGACCCTCTTCTCCTCCTGCACTTGGACCCAAATGGAGAAACACATTCCTTCAAAACCCTAGAACCTGCCCTCGAGGGGAGTATTACTGTGTCCAGTTCAGAGACAATGAAATGGCTCAGAGGGATGAGGTCATCCGCCCAGGATTCCGCAGCTGGGGGGTAGCAGAGCCCGCATCTGAACCCAGACCCATCTGACTGCAAAGCTTGGGGTCTGTCCAGAGAAAGGCGGGGGGAGGGGGGGAAGGCAGACGACAGGAGGGAAGAGGGGGCGCGTCAGCCTCTCTGGGTTCACTGTTAAGGAAACAAGCCAGATTACAGGCAGGGACACTGCCGTAAGCCCTCTGCTGGTCACTCCATGGGGGGGGGGGGGTCCCTGATGCTGGAGGACAACATGCAACCTTGAACCTTTTGTGATTGCCTGGGCTCAAGGACTGAGGGCTAGTTCCCCCAAGTGAGCCCTTCTCATCGCCCCAGCCCTCCCTACCTTTACCGCCGGGCACTCTTCCGGATCTGGTGAGGATTTCTCGGCAAAAACCTCCTCCTCTCCCTCCTCCGCTGCGGTCTCGTTGTCACTGGTCTCCTCCTCGAACCTCCTGTGATGACAAAGAACTTTGGTTACTCCCCCAGAGACCACTCTGACCTGCTCACCGGCCTTTAAACCCTTTCAGGGGAGAGAACACATTTTTGGGTGGAAGGGAGGAAATCGATTTTAGTGCATAGTGAGATGAGTCTGGGCCAATGTAATTCCCTGTATCATCACTACCAGCATCTAGACCACTCCATTACCCCAAAAGGCTCCCTTATCCCCTTTCTCAGTTAACTTCCCCCCAAGCCCAGCCCAGCACTGATCAGCTTCCTGTCACTACTGATGAAATCTCATTTTTCTAGCATTTCATATAAATGGAAGCAGACAGTATGTGCTCTTGTCTCTGGTCTCATCCAGTGACTGTATCAGCTCACTCTTCTTTATGGCCGAGGAACAGTCCATGGTATGGATACGCCACCATTTGTTTAGCTACTGGAAGTGAAGAACATCTGGATCGTTTCCATTTCTTAGCAATTGTAAATAAAGCTTCTACAGACAATCACGTGGATATAAGTTTCCTTTCCGTTTCTCTCGGATATTGTTAGTTTGCCAGAGCTGCCCTAACAATACCACCCACTGGGGTGGCTTAAAATAACAGAAATTTGCCCTAGCCATTTGGCTCAGTGGATAGAGCGTCGGCCTGCGGACTAGAGGGTCCCAGGTTCGATCCTGGCCAAGGGCACATGCCCGGGTTGCAGGCTTGATCCCCCCAGCAGGGGGCATGCAGGAGGCAGCCAATCAATGATTCTCTCTCATCATTGAGGTTTCTATCTATCTGTCGTCCCTCCT